AATATAAAGCATAATATTATATTATATAAATAATTATTATATTGATAAAATAAGCAAAAAAATATTTAACAATATATATTGATACTAATGTATATATTTTGCTATATAAAATTTTTTTACATTATTCTTTTTTATTTTTAGGCACTCTTTTTATATAAAATTTATACTCTAGTTTTACATTCAATACATATATCTTATTCTATCTTTTATATTTAACATATATCTGTTTCTATTTTTTTAATTGATATATATATTTTAAACATTTGATGAATATATTTATTTTATCTTTTATATTTATATTTTCTTATTCATTTTTAATTTTTTTTTGATTTATAATATTATTTTTGATTTTTTTTTATATTTTAGTTTTTTTTTTATATGATTTTTTTTTATATGATGTTTTTTTCTTTTTTATATGATTTTTTTTTCTTAAAATGCATTGGCAGTATAAGTATTGTAATTAAGAATTTTTAAAATTATTCGCATTAGTATACCATATTTTACAAAGTCATTCTTATCTTTAAGGTTTTACAAACAATACAGTTTTTACAGAATACTTAGATAATAATAATATTTGGAATCTTTTAAAATATAGTTCTAGTAATTCTGCTATATAATATGAAATAAATAGTTATATATTTTTAATTATTATAAAGTGTTATATAATGATTATATTTTATATAGAATAAAAATATGTTAATTTTATCTGAATTAACTCTAAGTAGGCCTTTTTATATAGAAATAGAATATCTTTTAATTAATCACAAGTTAAATGAATAAATAAAAGGTGAATAATAGATAAATAACAGAAAAAAAATCTGCTATTATTCTACCTTATATTTGCCAAATAATGGCAGCATAATAGTAACATAATAGCAGAATAACAGTAAAATAACAGAAAATTTATCAATATAAGTAACATAATAGTAACATAATAGCAAAATAATAAAACAGTTCTATTATTTTACTTTTAGTCTTTGTAACTAAAAGTAAAATAATAGAACTGTTTTATTATTTTGCTATTATGTTACTATTATGTTACTTATATTGATAAATTTTCTGTTATTTTACTGTTATTCTGCTGTTATACTACCATTATTTGATGGATATAGGGTAGAATAATGGCAGATTTTTTTTCTGTTATTTACCTATTATTTACCTTTTATTTATTTGTTCAACCTGTGAATGATGTAATAGAAAATAAAGTATTTCAAAATATGCCTAATGAAAGTGATTTTGAAGATTATGAAAATACTTATCAGATAATGTTATTAATAAGTTGGTTGAAATTAACTTTGAAGATTTTAAAGAAGCTTTATTTAATAATGTTTTTAATAATTTGTATAATCCACAAAATATCAAATAGCCTAACAATGCTTATTAAATTTATGAAGATAGTTAATAGGTATTAACTTTCAAATTTAGCTAGTGATGCTTTTATAAACTTCTTTAATAAATTTACCAATTTGAATACTTTTTTACTTCTATTATTAACAAAAACCAAAAAAAAATTTCTTGATAAATCTACTTCACCTTATATGATGTTCAAAGAAATTCTTATAAAAAAGTTTAAAAACATTGAATATATTTTTTACTATTGATTATTAATTAAAACTATAAAGTTTTTAATAATAATTGATAGTATTAATCAGTTATTAGTCCTTGAATATAAAAATAAAAGAGAGATAAAAAATAATATAGAATATAAAATCTTCAAGAAACAATATTATGCTAATTAGTAGAAGCAAGAAGAATTAGAATTATTTCTTAGCCAACATTTGCTATTGCTTATTCTTTATTCAGATGCAACAATCCTGAACTATATAGAAAAATCTTCTAAGCATTCTTTGTTTTTATTATTTAGAAATATTCTCAACTATCAAAGAAACAAACTAAAATTCAAAGCATTAATTGGGTACCTTCCAATCTTAAAAGCTAAAGATTCTAAAATGAAAAGGTTTGATAAATTCTAAAAAGTACAGAAAAAAATCTTTCAAAAATGCATATTAGTTCTTTTTAAGCCTATTGTTGAAGAACCAGAGCTCCATTTTGTAATACATGAAAATATAATCACTTTTATTTTACGTATATTAATAATTATTACAAACATGGCTGAAGATAATAAGTTTGCAAATATTTATTAGCTAGCTTTCTTAAGATGACTATGTAAAAAATGCTTAGTATTATAAGATGACTTAAATAATACTAATTTAATAAAAATAATTCCAAGAACTTCAGATTATATAATGCAAGTAATAGATAGCAAAGATAATCAGTATTATTCAATTCATCTTGAAAAAAATGCATTTTGAAACATAAGGTATGAGATTTAATTTATTATTATAGTAATGTACTAAAAATGTATATTGTTATAAATAATAAACTTTTAAAAACTTTAATATATATAAGGCTATTGTACCTAATTAAATATATGCTTTGGATCTTGGTCTCTTTAAATATATACTAGACTATACTAAAGATCTTTTATATAACCAATGCAAGAGCCAAGTAATTCAAACCTTTAAACAATAATTAATATTGATTCCTCAATATAACAGCCTTAAAATAATAAAGAATATATCAGATATAACATACATTATAATCAACAAACTGCAAAATTTAATGAAAATAATAATTTTTACTTTTGATAATATATATATAAATTATAAGAAGCCAGAAATTAATAATAAATAGTTATACCAAATTTATTACAAATTTCTTAAAATGTATATTGCTACTCATAAAGAATAATTTACTAATGATTCTTGTAATCAGCTTTAATTATAATATAAATACTTAGCTTTTTAAAATATTAGATTACAAATGATTAATTTTACAGACCTTTATTTTAGATTGAGTTCAAAAATATTTTCAAAATATGCTTAAAATAATCTTTAGCTTCTTAAATTTTATGCTTGGTGCTATTATATAGTACTTGCAATTGAAGAATATAGATCTATAAATAGTATGATCACAGAGACTTATAAAACTCTTTATAAAAATTATATAAAAATCTCTTATTATATGTTCAATAAAAAAGACTATATAAAATAAATAATAAATACTATAAGTTTTAAATATAGTAAACTTTTATTATATATTATTAATAATTATTATAAATAGGTTAAATAATAGCAACTAACAGAATATAGAGCTTAAAAAAAATATTATAAAGCAAAAAAGTTTGGTAAATCTTTGTAGTCATTAGGTTTAGATAATTTTCTTAAAAATAATAAAAATAATATAAACTCATTAAAAGTTGAAGGTTTTTAAAATTTACTAACAGGTCTTGATAAATTTTTTAAAAAAGAATCAGTAACATCCCTTACTGATAATAATTGCATGAAAATATTTTTTTCTGCTTCTTTAGAAAGTATTAATATAATTCAAGTTACATTAAATTTTTATAGAAATCAAATGTTTTTTAATATTATTATTAATAAAAGTAACAGAAAAGAAGAAATAAATTAGTATGGCTTAGTAAGTATCGATATATTTATAAATTATTCTATTAATACAAATTTAACAATAAAAGCAATAAAAGTAAATTAATAATATTAATAATTATAATAACTTTTGAAGTTAGAAAATGTTGTTATTTTTATTTAACTTCAAAAGTAATATAATTAATGTGATTATTATTTATCAAGGTACTATTAATACTTAAGTTTAATCAAGCAAATAAAGAGCTACTTAAATTTGTTTTAATCTGCTAGTATAATAAAGATGATGAAATATGTGAATGTTTCAAACTGAAGCTGCTAAAACACTATAGTTGTATACTTTTAGAAAGCATAAATAAAACTGTATATATAGTTTAAAGATTTAACAAAAAAAATAAATATTTAGCAAACAGTTTTATATTCTAATTTAAAGTATATATTTAAAAAGTCTGATTAATTTAAAATACCATATATTACCAAATAAAAGCAACTAATTTTTTTTTAATTTTTATAGGCCAAAAGGAGAGTGTAGCTTCTATTTAGGTCCAAAGATGAAAACTATGCTTATTTACATAATAGATTTCAGCCAATCAAATCACAATAAATAAAGAGATATTATTGTCTAGTTAATTATATAAAATTTAGTTAAAATTAAAAGATTTTCAAAAAAAGATCTTTATTATAAAGCTTATTTGTACATTCTTGTAAATTATCATTGGTATAAAGTTATTGACTAATTTATAGAGTAAACTATTAATCATTTTAAATTTATATATGATAGAAGCTTTATTTATGAATAAATATTTATACAATAATAACATTTCAATCAGTTGTTACAATAAAAAAAAATTTATATAAACTTGAAATAGGCATGCTTATAAAATGAATAATAAATACTGATATTAGAATTTCTAAGATAAAAGATGTTTATAGAATAAATAATATTAGATATTATTATCAATACAGAATTTAACTAAAGATAAAAACCTGTTCTAATTTATTTAATCAATCTCACATTTTGAGTTTTATTTGGAGAGTATAAAAGCATATTAGTAGGTGTAGATGTATAATAATAATATAAGACTTAAATGCATACTTTCCTTATTTAGACCAATTCTTCTTTACAAATGCCAATTTAGACATCTGTTTACATTATCTGTGATTTAATCAGATGGAATTTATAGAATATTGTGATAATTATAATGCAGTAATAGAATTTTTTTTTCTTCATAATTTTTTTAAATATTAAAAAAAGTTGCTACAAAGAAGGTTTGTCAGTTATATACTATTCAAGACAAAGCTTATGTTGTTTGGTATGCTTTTTGCACAAGTAATATTAAGGCTGCTGTAAAGTTTAGCTTAGATAAGTTCCAAGTTGGCCATTGGGTAGTGCAGCTAAAGGACAAACTAAATAAAATTAAAAATAGCAAGTTATGTCATCTTGAAAGTGCTGATAGAAAGTGCTTTTTTCCTAAAAAAGAAGCAAGACTTTATAGTTGAATATCTGAAATACATAGAATAGCACTTGCTATAACATATAATAGCTTTAAGTTAAAAATGCTAAGAATTATTTCTGAAGCTGCTTTAAAAAGCAATAATCTTACAAAAAAAAAACTTGTAGGCAACTTCCAAGCTTCTTCAATGTAGACAAAATGTTTTTTAAAATGTTATAATCTTGCTTTACATCGAAAAACCAAAATCTTGCAAAAAATGCCTGCAGTTTTTAAACAAAAACTGCTTAATTTTCAATAGTATGTAATTAAGTTATGTTAAAAAAAAACTACCCTCTAAGCAACATAGCAAACATGAATAAGACTTCTGTTTGGTTTGATATAGCTGGTAATCTTACTGTTGAACAAATTGGCATCAAAACTGTTTATATTTATATAACTGATAATAAGAAGAATCATTTTATTGTAGTTTTAATATGTTTTGCTAATAGATAAAGTTCTTTTCTATAATTCTGTTCAAGGACCAAAGATGAGCTAAAACTAAACCTCCTCCTCCTTTTGGTATAGTTGTGTCTTTTTATAAAAAAAGCTGAATAGACAAATTGAACATGTTAGCTTGGGCTAATAATTATATTAAAAGTTGTCCAAGTGGTCAAAAAATAAGCCTTCTCTTTTAGTATTTGACTCATTTAAGGCACATCTTACTAACTCAGTTAAAACAAAGTTATATGAAAACAATAATGATCTGGTTATTATTCTGAGTGGTCTAACCTCTGTATGCTAACCTTTTAATGTTTCTATTAATCATCTTTTTAAAATAACACTTTGTCATTACTGGCATATGTAGATAACAAAGGGTGGTTCTGACAAAACCAAGAAAGAAAACTTAAAACATGCAAAATTACATACTATTTGTGAGTAGGTACTTGCTACTTGGGCAGAAATTGACACTGAAATTATTCAGTATACCTTTTATAAGTGCTCTATTTCTAATATGATTGATAGGTCAGAAGATGATAAAATATATTAGGATGAAATCCTTAGTAATGAAAGTAAAGAAATTAACCAAAATAAAACCCATCATGTTCCTGATGAACATAATATTATTACAATTAATTTTAGTGATAATAAAAAAGACTATAATGCAATTATTGAGGAAGATGCAATTATTAAGAAAGATGAAAAAGTTCTTGTTTTTACAATTGATTAGCAAAGAATGATTAAAGTTTTATAATAGTGTAATAAAGTTAAGGATAGTTTTGCTCTTGAGCCATTTTAAGATTTAACAATATTGTTTTAAGAAAAACTATATTATGTAGACAAAGAAAAAAAGAATCAAATAATGCATATTCCAGTGATTAGAATTAGGTAATTTTTATAGCATTCAATTCTTCTTTCTGAGAATAATTAACTAATATAAAAATCATTATTTTAATTACTATATTATAAAAATTTTAACTGCCCAACTTGCTATTAGTGCTTATTAACTGTTATGTAAAGAGCTTTGCTTAATATAACATTATATACAGATAACCTTTTTATCTGAAATATTTTTACTTTATTTAAGAAAATGCATAAGTTTTATTGAATTAAATAATTTATACATAAAAAAAAAATTTCAAACCATATTACTAAACTTAATCTTAACATGCATAATGCTAAAGCAATTTTAGATTAGATCTAAAATTACCTTTCTAATATTTTAATTAGTATATCAAGATAGATTTGGGTGTTTACTTTCTATAATTTTTTATTAGTTAGCATGCAAGACTGATTAATTTACATATTGATTTCAGATCAAAATTATAAGTTGTATATATCTAATGTTTTATTATTTTTATTGGTTCTGAATCAAAAGTTGTAGGCTAGATACATGACATAAAGGTTTTTAAAACTAGAGGTTGCTTATATTTAGTAATTAACAATTTTTCTTATTTCACTCATTTTTGGCATCTCAAATTAAAGGGTTGCTTTTATTCGGAAGTTGTTTCTATTTGGTAATATATAATATTAAAATAATTCTTTAATTAATTTAAAGTATATATTATATAATATATAAGATATATATTAAGTTATAACAATAGTATCAAATAATAGTGATTAAATAAATTTAATAATTATCAATATTAAGGTATAATTAATAAACATCTAATAATTGATACTTACTAATATTGGTTAAATATTGAATAATAATATGTTTATTGATATATATCAATATTTTTCTAATAATATATATTAATATAATATTAAATATCAATATATATTTAGTAATAAAATTTTCTAATATTATTTAAAAAGTATTAATAACTTTTTAAAAACTATTTTTTTAGAAAAGCAAAAAGCTATTCTTTTAATCTAATAATTGATTAGTTTTAGAGTTACTATGTGTTGTAGCATCATTCTGAATTATATAAATATCTAAAATATAGCAGAAATTAAGAAATTCCATATGCATTTTATCAATAATCTTTGTACACAAATGATAAACCAATATTATATCTTTCTATTTTTACTAATGCTTGATGCTCATTGTGCAATAACTTATATATTAACTAAAAATAAAACAAATATTATTATGTAACTCATATGTTTATCTATAAAACTCTTTATAGTTATTTAGTATTTAGAAGTTTCTTTACAGATGTTGTCCTAAGTATAACTAAAAATAACTATAGTAATACATAGAAAATATATAGTAATACTATAGTAAATATTATATTATAATTAATAAATATTAAGTAACTATAATTAAATTAATTGTTCTATTATTTTAAAGTGTCTTAAGGCACTTGGAACATAATCTGAAACCTTTAGTCAGAACCTTTGTAATATTAAATAATTATTATTTTAGATATTCAAACATTTATTAGCTAAAATAAAATATTATAAAAAATCTATTAATAAAATAAATATTAACCTATTAAATAAGTAATTAAAACTAATAAAATAATTTATAAACTATATAAAAATATTAAAAAAAATATAAAATATAATAGAGCTAAAAATAAATATATAATAATATAGAAAAAAAATAAAGCCTATTACAGTATAAAATTAAATATAACTTAATAATCATAATATATCTTCATTAGTTTACTAAAATTATTGGTAGAGTAGAGTGAATACAGGATCTAAAGTATTTAAATAAAAAATCTACAGATGGATCCTAGATATAACAACTAATATAAAACCTTTGAGCAGACTACTTAAATTAAACAATAACTAAAGTTGTATAAGTGCTAATTGTATATTCTTTTTATAATTGCCCTTGTATCTGTTATATTAACAAATGCTAACCAATATATGCTATCAATAAAATCCTAAATCACATATACTTACCTTAACATTTAAGAAAAAAAACTAATTTATTTTTTTTTCTTTACATATCTTTTTTCTTTTTTAACTTTCTTTTTTCATTTTGTCTGTTATTTTTTTTATTTATTTATTTATTTTTAAGATTATGTTCTTTATATATGTTTATAAAATGTATTTTAAACTGTTTTCACAAAAACTAAAAAAATCAAAAAATTAATAATAAAATATAAGTGACAAAAAGAAAAAACCTGTAAATCATTTCACTTATTGAGTAAAATGATTTACAGATTTTCTCTTTTCATCACTCATATCTAAAAACATTAATAAGTAATATAAAGTTACATTTGTGCAATAGTAATTATTATATTTTGGTTAGGCTAGATGATATTATGTTGAATAATTAATAAAAATAATGCATTCAATTACTTTTAAAATTTAAAACCTTGCTTTTTTTGATGATTTTAAATGAATAATAAAATAGCTTGTATTTTATTGTAAAAATTGTCTTTTTTTAGTTAATTAAAATACATAAGATGTAGGCTTTATAAACTTTGTAAGCATTTAGCTTTTTTTAAAAACAATTTACTATTAACAATTTTTAAGTTTTTTACCTTATATATAAAGAATAAAGCAATTAGCAATATCTTTAAGGTTTTAATATGAATACAGATCATATAAAATAATAACAACTTGTTCAAATTTAATGTTAAAATCCAGTGATATGGTTGAAGATATTTTTATTTCAGCCGCTGTTAAGTGTTTCATAAAAATACTATAACGAACTGACGGTTCTAAAAGAAAAAAAAGCTCGTTATAAAAATTACTGTTTTCTTAAAGACCCATGGCACTTTCTATACCGAGCTATTATGAAATTTTAAATTTTGAACTTGCACTTTGATTCTGTGCTTTAAATATAACGTAAGTCTCATTTTTTTTATGTGGTACTAGGATGGCTGGCTATTTAGACGTTGTACGTACTTAAAGTTGCGTATTCTTATCGTTATACGTATGCATTTAATTTTAAGCAAGTGTAACTTTTAAATATATTATTACTATATATTATAAATAGGCTTTAATTATTGATAATTTATTCTTGACTCTGATTGGCTGGTTGTGATATTCTCTAAGTGCACAGCCCTAAGCGCAAGGGCGTCACTTAGAGAGGTATTACTATATTCTATTTTTATATTATTCTAAACAGGAGGAACTGTCGATGTTACACGACTGATCCTTCATCCGCTAGTACATGTCAATCATATGTACTAGCTGAATGATCTGGGGTCAGTCGTGTAACATCGACGGTATTATTCTATCGAAATTCTCCGAGCGCAGTGATCTCAACGACCATTCGACATAAGAACATAAGGTCGGAAGTCATGTGCCGAGACCTTGATTGTTGGGAGTTTTGTATAAAGATAACACAATATCGGGGTATTTGATATTAACTCATATATAGCGATAGCCTTGGCACTAATTAAAAAAAATCATTGACCAGTTATTATATAAAAATATAAATTTAATAACATTCTATATTAATATAACAAAAATATATATATTATTGTACAATTCATCGTATAAAGGTTTATGGCATAATTTAACACATCGTATGCAATTTCTACTAATATTAAAATAATACTAATGTCTCTATTAAGCCAACAAAGCAAATGTTAAAAACATCCGAGATAGCCACCCTTCGCCCATCAGGTCAGGTTATATATCTTTTGACCATTATTTTATTCGATAATTTGTTTGTCGTAAATGTAATAATATAAATAATTTTTCGCATTAATGAAAATTTGGTTATAAAAACAGACCCTATTAAATAGGATGGATTTATAATTTGTTCGAATCAAAAAATCATAATATAAACACAAATAAGAACAAGTAATAATAGAGGCAATATATGAGTATATCAGCAAAGAATGTACGAAAACAAATATAATAAAGGTAATCAAACAATCCTATCAATGTAAAATTCTTAAACCCAATCTGTAAGCATAGAAAAACAAATAAAAAGCACAGATAAAAATTGTACTTGTATATAATAAAAAATATATTTGACATTTAACAAGAGAATACTATAAAGATTTCGATGAAGGAGAAATGGAAATTCTCATGTATAAAAGATTAAACAAAATTAACACCTAATTTTTCCATTACTTGCTTATAAAATCAACATCGATTTTCGTAGAAACAGAAACACACTTTCTTTACAAAACTAAACAGTTTGAATGATTTCTCCTCTTTTTCCCCCTGCCCAAGAGCGCTGCCCGTGTAGCATGTTCAAATACCTCACGGACGCCCTCACCAGTTTTGGCTGAGCACTCCAGATATTTATAAGCACCAATTTTTTGAGAGATCATCATACCCTTGTTTATGAAATTATAAATAAAAAAAATTAAGATTTGACACATATAAATTAGGCAAATAGAGAAATTAAGATTTGACACATATAAATTAAACAAATATAAAAAGGATCAATGAATAGTAGATCTTGTGCTTTGTTATACCTCTTCAGGTGTCACTGGCCTTTGAGAAGTCTTACGAAGCTCTTCAATAGTCTTGGGATCAAACCTCAAATCTTTCTTGCATCCAACTAGGATGATGGGCAAACCATGACAAAAATGCATTACTTCTGAAATCCACTATTAAATATAAAAATAATTAAAATTTCAAGCTAAACTAAAAAATTTGATATAGTTACTTAATACATATAATAATAAACAACGAATCTCCATTCAAGAATATCGTTTGATATATCCGGTTATTATTAAATTAAAAGTCCCATATTTATCCGGATAATTTGCTCAAAATATACTATAGTTTTGATGTATGAGTGTCAAATTTTGAACACTTACTTTCTCTTGTACGTTATCCAAAGAATCGGGAGAGTCAACCGCAAAACAAATTAAGATAACGTGAGAATCAGGATAAGAGAGAGGTCTTAGACGATCGTAATCTTCCTGACCTATTCATTCCCAACGTAACATAAAAGATTAATGGATAATTATTTACTAACTTCGCAAAAATATAACGGCAAAGATTATTACCAGCTGTATCCCATAAGGCCAATTCAACGTGTCTACCATCTACTTCGACGTCAGCGACATAATTTTCGAACACAGTAGGAACGTAGACCTGTATAGTAAATAATATAAAAAAAATAAAATTAAGTATGGATAAGCTTCTAATTTGCAAAATCTACAATACCCTCAATACACAATCAAAAAGTGATAGCACAATCATATCGCATACAATATAATAAGAAACATAAGATTTAAACAGATAACTTTCTTAATAGTTATCATAAAACTATGCATCGAAATTTCCACCATTTGATTCTATTAACGATTTAGTACCAAATACATGAGGGTGTTCTTGGGGCTACTGAATTGATTTCCTTGTGTGATTACTTAGTAACTAAGCATATGTTTCTTTTAAAGTTACATACCTCAGGGAAAGTACCTTTAGAGAAAACGATTAGAAGACATGTTTTACCACAGGCACCGTCACCAACAATGACAAGTTTTCGACGAATCTCAGCCATTCTGTTAATAAGGGTGCGGAGAGTCTAAGTGGTAAAAGCCCAGCTGTGTTTGAAACGGTCAAGTACTCGTTTAGAAACAAGTATAAAGGCTTGTAAATAGAAATTTATAACTATTTATGGAAGAACTGAGAGCCTTACAGTTATAACGTTTTAAAGCGAGAGAAATTACAAGAGTAAAGATTTGAGATGATGAGCCACAAAAGACTAATAAAACTATATAGACGAGAGGTTTATCGGAGGAAGACGGTAGCGAGTACAACAGAAACTCCGATTGAATAGGGGAATGCTCAATGATCATAATAGAGAAACAATCGTTACACATTTATATATGCCGTATCGCAAAAATAACATCATCTGTATCGTTCTTGATGTCCTTTTTTGGAATCATATGGAGAACAGTACACAAATAGTATATTTTTTAAACGGCACTAACTAACCATCAGAAACAGAAGTTTTACTTTTGTATCAGATTTTTCGTAATGTTAGATAATCTTCGGCCGATGAATATAACCACGTGATACCATCTTGCGTGGACTACATATAATCAACATAAATCGATGTTTTTCACTGTCCCTGTTCTGTACTTGTCATGTGAAATTAACGGTAGAAAATTTCTCGTACGATTTTTGTACGTCATATCGATATCTGATCTTGAATATTTATTGGCCAAAAAAAGTGACGGTCATGTGTAGGTTCTGTGCACGTACGTGCGTACCTGAACGATCACATTCTGATTGGATAAAATCAATTCAACCGCGGCAAAGTTTTTTTTCTAAACTTTAAGCGAAGATATCTCGATGATCACTTATCTAAATTTAATAAAAAAAAATTTATAGTATTAATTATATAACTTTATTGATTAAATACGTATAAATAAAAAATTCTATCGGTGATCGTCGAGATATCTTTGTTTAATTTAAAAAAAAAACCATTAAATCTTATTTGATTTCGCCCAATCAAAACGTAGATGCTCAAATAGAATCTCACATGACCGTCACTTTAGGTACTACTTTAAAAGTGACATCCGAATACGCAAATTTTAAAATTCAACCAAGTAAATCGATACATTTCAAAATGGTATGCACTGGGATTAACAGCCATAATATATTCACATACTAAACTTCTACTGACTTCTTTAGTCTAGCGCAAGTGGTGTTAATGCCAGCGATGAATGCATGGAAGTTTTTCAAGAACTTAAATTAAAAAAAAAATACAAATACATTTTGTACAAAATTAATGATGAAAAAGACAAGACAGAAATCGTTCTTGATAGGGCAGAAGAAAATGCCACCTACGAAGACTTCAAGGATGTCTTGGTTAAAGAATTGAAACAACAGCCCCGTTACGCCGTTTTTGATTTCGACTACGAAAAGACCGGTGAAGGTCCACGTAATAAGCTCGTATTCTTCTCTTGGTACGTTTTGTTTTTTTAAATTCGAAAATATAGATATAGATGGGGTTTTAAAGGTTTAATATAATTTCAACATTTTAACATTTTTATTATAAATAATTATAAACATTTATTAATTCATTTCAGTTAAAATGTTTAGCATAACAAATTTGGTTTTAATTTTTTTAAAAAAACCAATTTCGTCAGTTTCCACATTAATTAATTTCAACTATTTCATCAATTTTTTTCTATAAGAAAGGCAATTTCACCCCATCTATATATAGACCATTCACTTTGAATATCAACGAATATAACATTAATAAGGCTGTTTGAAATTGATTCATCGTTTAACGTTATTCTCCCTCCGTTTCCTGAGTATTCTCAGATTAAACAAATAGAGGTGACAAATTGAACGCTATATCTGGAATTTTAGGCATAGTAGTAATTAGCAATCTGGATTTTCGCTACACTATATGCTTATTTTTTGGTGTTAATCCCACCCAAATACGAAAAAAATAATTTTAAACGATGTTTTGAGTCAAACGGCCTAAGTGCATTTAAAACCTTTAGAGGATTTATTTCGTAGTTTAAATTTCCGAAAAAAAAATACATATATATATATATATAGCAATTTTTCAAACTTCGGATCCTTTTTTTATTTAGTAACGATTCTTAAATTACTCGCTTTCGTGCGACATGCGATCTTTTCATGAAAATGTTCTTGTCGAATTCAAAATAACAAATCAAACGTCTAATTATGCGTGTAGGGTCCCCGACACTGCGCCTGTCAAAACCAAGATGCTTTATGCTTCAAGCAGAGAAGCTATCCGCAAGAAGCTTGTAGGCGTTGGAATTGAAGTACAAGGAACTGATGAAGAAGAAGTTGACTATGCAACCGTTCTAGAGAAAGTTTCCCGCTCAAATTAATCCACATACTTCTCTCGCCTCGTGGTCCAAATTAGGGTTGAGGCCCAATCATTTTTTTTCTAAAATTATAACATTAATACATAGTTTGAGTTTGGTAATCGGGATTTCTATTTCATTTGGGATAACTAAAATTCAAATATATATCCATTCTCAGTCAATGGTATAAAATTCAAAAACCAATCAAACCTGTTAAATCAATGCTATGAACCATTATTTTTATTTCAAATTAATTTAACAAGATATGTTGAATAAAGTGATATGACACAGTGGATCTAATGATTGTATATGTACACAATAAATGAAAAATGAAAGTTTTAACATCCAAAATAAAATTAGAATCCTAAATAATAAACCTTTTGATCCTTAATAAAATTGATGCACAACCATTGTTATTAACTCTTTGTAGTCGTTATGAATTACCTATGTATTTATATATCGAAAACAGTCAGTCGATATAAAGATTCATCTTACAAACCGAAAGTTTCATTAACAATGGCAAAAACTCGAAACTATACTTACCTTCAAATTCCTTACTGGCGAAACGCAACAGCTTTTAGTAATTATATATATAATTAATTCTATAAATTGGCTACCCGGTTATAAAATTGACAGATACAAGGAAATCTCCAGCATTTAGTAATTCGAGCCAACCATTTCTGTCAAAACTATAGCTGGCAGCTTTACTTAACAGAATAGGGCATTTTCTCTAGAGTGTTGTCTATAGTAAATTTATAGCGTAAACACATCAGGCATAGGACATCTCTTCTTATAAAAGCTCAAAATGTTGTCTATAATAAAAATTATAGTAAAAACATATGAAATTACTATAAACTTTGAGCTAAAGATCTTCTTCAACTTAAGTAACTTAAAATTAATTTTGTGATTATATAAAACAAAGAAAGAAGAAACAATTTAGCTTAAAAACTAAGTTAAAATTTAACTAATTTTGTCTATTTTAAAGTTGTAAATTCTTCAAAAATCATTATTTTCTAATTTTAATTATTATAAGTAATATTATGTAACAACTTTACTTAGAAAGCAAAAGTGGGTTAACTTAGAATTTTTTTTTTCTTGAGTAATCATGTTAGTACTTTATTAAGATTCTTGAAACTACTTTTGCAATTATATAGAAATACCTAACAACTAAGTCTAGCATTATCTGGTTACTCTAATAATATTTAAGTGCAATTTGTTGCATTACTTCAAACATAGTAAGCTGCTTATTTAACTATTTAAAGTTTATAATAAGGGGTTTTTTTTATAACAAGTTTCAATATTGTCTTTCTAGTTTCTTCTTCAATTCATTTTTCTTATTTTTTTTATTTGATTTTTTTTTTATTGATTTGATTTTTTTTTTTGTTTAGGTTTTTTATATTTCATGTTTTTCTTTTTATTTTGTTTGTTATTTCTTTTTTTTTCTAAACTGTTCTTGTTGTATTTATAAAATATTATTTGATTTTATATTTAGAAACTATATTAATTTATTTTGTGTTTTCTTTAAAATTAAACCTTTAATTAATGTTTCTTTTTTTTTATTTTATTTTATTTTTTTATTTTTTTGTTAAAGGTCATACTTTGTGGCAATACTTTATTGACTTTTATTGAATTAGTTATTACAACTATTTTTACAAAGATGAGAGTATAACTAGTCACATATACAATTTTTGGTTGCCTATTTAAGTAGTCATCCTAAGGTTCTATAATAGATGCTGTACCTATAACCTACTAGGAGATTATTAATTTAAACCTTCTGATCATCCATCCTGTTATAATGTAACTTTAACTAATCCTTCATATATATCTAATCAGTATACTGTCTGAGCAGTATGATATCTAACCATTTTGTACTGGTTTCTAGGTTTTTACACATTTCAGAGTACATCATCTGTTAGTAAGATGCAGGAAGCCTTCTGTTGTTAACTATTTATTCATTTTTAGAACACTAATAAGAGATATCTTTACAGAGTTTACCTAGACTCTAGTACTGACTTTACAACATATCTCTAATACTTTTAATATACCTTTGCTTTGATCTTAAACTTCCTATTCAGATAGCTTAAAAGGACTGTAATCTGTTCTTAGTATATTGAGACCAACCTAATATCCTTTTTTTCTAGTTCAAAATCTGATAATCTAATTGATAATACCTCTTATCTAAGATTCTTGTCTGCCTAATTCTTTTATATTGATATCTATTTTTTAAGTTTAGTCTTTATAGTAATATTATCTAAGATTTGTATTACCTTTTTGCTTAGAATTTTCAAGTAAGTTTTAGCTTCTTAGTTCTATAGATTTATATAACTCAAGAACTTATTTTAGAGTTGCATTATCTAGTACTAGTTTGCATTCCTTTATGTAACAGGTTATATAGATGCCTCAGACCTGTCAGTTATGCTGATGTGATCATAGTTATAGATATCCTATTTTAACTAATTAACAAAATGTTGTTACTGTAATATCATCTATATATTATATAAATAATTATTCAAATTTTATCATTAATGAGTTTTGAACTCATACAACCTATCATTTGAGAGATGACAACTTATCTACTTCACTAAATCATTACATCTTTTTTTTTTTTTGTCTTTACTTTTCTGAAAAATATTATATATAGCATATATAAAAAGACTTATGGTTTTTTTTTTATATTTTTTTATATTTTTATTATAATTATTTTTTAAATTCTTTTTTAAAAATTTGTTTGTCTTTTATATAATACTAGATATATATATATTTCTTTTATTTTATTTTAACATATTTGATATTTTATTAACATGTATATATTTGTTTTCTTCTATTAAGTTTTTTTTTAATGTTAAGGCAAGTACTTGTAATTTAAGAGTTTATTGAAATTTATCATCATATAACTATTGTATATAATAGCTACAAAGGCAATTATAAAAAAAGTGTACAACTAGTTATTTATACAACTTTAGTCATTGTTTATTTTAAGTTGTCTGTTCAAAGGTTCTATATTAGTTGTCATATCTAAAACCTGCCTGTGAATTTTCTATTTAAACATTCTAGTTCTTATATTTATTTCTATTCTACTAATTGCAGATTAATTACAAATATGTTATGATTACTCAGTTATATTTAACTTTGTACTAAGCCTACTAGAGCTTTCTGTATTTCATACTTATAGCTAACCTAATACTGCTTTAGCCTAGACCATAACTTTCAGTCAGGGCTAACTATTAAATCACTATATTCTTATAAAGTTTACTAGAACTCTAATACTTTTCTTTTTCAATTTTCATATTTTACTTCTGAACCTATAAGACTTCTTAAACTATCAATCCAGATGGCTCAGTATGGTATCCTAAGATCTATTTTTTTTAACAATTTCTAGTAGCCTAGTTGGTATATGTTTTTTTATACATATTGTTATCTAATTTAGTTTAGTTATTTTTTTTTAAGAACTTCTAATAGTCTAATAGTATTGTTAAAAGTTTATGCTATCTCTTTAGTTAGGATTTTCAAGTAGGTTTTTGTATTTTAGTTTCTTAGTATTATATATCTAGTAGTCTTATCATAGGTTTGCACTAGAGTTTTATACAATACTGATTATTAATATTTTCTATATATATATAATATTACACTTAAGATAAATGTCCAAGCTCCTATTCAAAATAATGTTTTTAAGATTACAAATCATCTTTTCTGTTTAATTAACAAAACATAGTTACTATAACACAAATATAATTTCTAAATTTTTGTTATTTATAAAATTTAAATACTAAACCTGCCACTTAAAAGTTGACAACCTATTCACTTTATTAGATTGCTATACTTCTTTCTGTTAAGTTTTTTTAGAATTAGAAGTTTATTTATTATATATTTTATAAATATATTTTTTCTTACATTATTTCTTTTTGTTATAGAATATATTATTTTAGTTATTTTAATATTTTTTGAAAATGTATCTAAATTTTTTTTTTTAACTTAAGCAGTTATACTAGTGCTTTATTAGAATTCTTAAAACTATACAAATTATATAGATTTTTTTTAATACTTAAGTTTAGTATTATCTAATCACCTTATTGATATCTAAATGTAATTTGCCAAACTATCTAAACAGAAGTAAACTACTTGTCTAATTGTCACTTTATAATAGGATATTACTAATCTGATAACATCTTCTTGGAAAGAATCCAAAAACAAAATAAAATTTTATATATAAAAAAACAGAAGTATAAAGATAAATAATAAAAGATACAAAACAAAAAATAAAAAAAATAAAAATAATAAATAAAAAAAAAAAAAGTGTAAAACTTGCAATTTATAAAAAAATTAAATAATTATGATTTTAAGCCTGTATTAGATATAAAACTTGCATTTTATAGATATTAGACAATTACAATTATAAGTCAGTATTAGGCTTTTAAAAATTATAAACTATACTAAATTAAAATTTTTTTTTTTTTTTTCTTAAGCAGTCATGCTAGTGCTTTATTAAGATTCTGAAATTATATTTGCAATTATATAAATATCTTTAACTACTAAGCCTAGCATTACCCAGCCATCCTAATAGTACCTAAGTGCAACCTGCTGCATTACTTTAAACAAAAGTAAGCCACTTATCTGACTACTTAAAGTTCATAATAGAAGAGTCTTCTTCCTTTCATGACAAGCTCTAAAATTGTTTTCTGTATTTCTTTTCTGATTTGTTTTTCTTTTTTCTTTACTTTCTTTTTTCTTTTTTCTATGGCTTGCTGATTTAGTTTTCCTTTTTTACTTGGTGTTTTTCTCTCTTTTCTTTTTCTTCTTTTTATTCTATCTGTTATTTCTTTATTTTTCTCTCATTCATTGATTTTCTTACATCAGATTCTCTATACTTGTTTATAAAATGTGTTCCAGATTGTTCTTGCTATTATATTCATAAACTGCTGCTTTGATTTTGTATTTAGAAGCTGCCTCAATCTGTTTTGTGTTTCTTTTAGAATGAAACCTTTAATTAGTGTCTCTCTTATTTTAAT